TGCAGGAGCTGCCCCCTGGTGGTCAGTGCACACTCACAGCCAACCTCCCATGCCCCCGCCCCCCTCCTGCTGGCTGGTTGGCCCCGATCGCCAGTCAGGCCAAGGGACCCACCTGTGCACGAATTCGTGCACCAGGCCTCTAGTTATTCATAATAGCCAAAGGTAGTAACAACCCAAATGTTCATCAACCGATGGATAAACAAAATGTGGCTGTGTCTGCTTGATGGACTATAGTATGATTTAGCCATAATAAGGAATACATTTTTTTACAAGCTTAATAGGGTTAAACCTTTAAAATATTATGCTAAGAAAAAACCCACATTATGCTAAGTAAAAGAAGCTAGTCATAAAAGACCACATGTCATTTGGGTCCATTTATATGAAATATCCAGAATAAGCAAATCAATGGCACAGAAAGCAGAGTGGCAGTAGCCTGCAGAAATGGGAGATTTGGAGGGTGACAGTTTAAGGATACAAGGTTTTTTCCAGGGCGAAAACCATGTTCTAAAATGGATAATGGTGACAGTTAAGCAAGTCTGTGAATATACTAAACGCCACAGAACTAGACAATTTAAATGGGTGAATTGTATGGTATATGAATTATATCTTAATAAATCTGTACACAAAAAAAAGAAAAATAAGACACACAGTTATAAAATGACAACAATAGATCACACTAACATAGGCCTGCGGTCGGCAAACTGTGGCTCGCAAGCCACATGCAGCTCTTTGGCCCCTTGAGTGTGGCTCTTCCACAAAATACCACAAAATACCACCTGCGGGTGGGCACGTACACTGCGATTGAAACTTTGTGGCCCATGCGCCGAAGTCGGTATTTTATGGAAGAGCCACACTCAAGGGGCGAAAGGGCCGCATGTGGCTCGCGAGCCACAGTTTGCCGACCACTGACCTAGGCCATCAAAAGTTGGATTGTAACCACCCTTGCAGGGGGAGGCTAGTGACTAGAAGGGGAAATAAGAGAGTTTCTGACATAATGATCAAGTCCTGTTTCTTGATCTGGATGCTGGCTATATGGGTAGTTCTGTCTATGAGAAGTCTTCAAGCTGTATATAGTTATGATAATGGCACGTTTTCTGTATGTATATTATAAATGTAAAAATATATTTTACAGTTAGCACCTAGGTCTTTAAAGTGCCTAAAAGCCAAAACATTCCATCCAACTTGTATGAAAAACCAAGTGGCAAACACATGCAGCAGATTTGCTCCAAGGTAACCTTAAGAGCAGGGAAATGTACAAGGAGAGCCTGTTGATAGCATTAAAATAGTTCTGTTTTATAAATTAAGAAAATCTGTCCAAGGCCCAGTGTCAAAAGAGATGAAAAAATAATTATGCTATATTATTTATATTATTAAACTTATGGTGAAAATCACTAGACAGGGAATATAGTTCTGGCTCTCCCACTTGCTGTGTGACTTCAATAAAAGCAGTTAACTTAATACCTCTTTAGATCTCTTCTCTTGAGGATAAACCACTTCCTGTGATTTTGGGGAGACCCAGGTAAGGTCTGATACATGAGAGCCCTCCAAAACCAAACCAAAGATTAGGAAAGATACAATTTGGAGGGTGACAGTTTGAAAATAAATTATTTAACAATATATACAATTTGTATATATTGAATTGTATATAATTCAAATGAAATCAAAAGCTCTTCAGTGAAATACAACAATAAGAAATCTAACAGTTCACTCAATTATTCTATAAAATGTATCCCAAACAACTGCATAAAGAGCTCTTCAGAGGCTATAAATGTATATTATATTTTGTGATTATTGAAAGGAACAGCTAGTGTCAAGCAAGAAAATGCCCTGAGTGAAGCAGCATGATACCTTATAATATAACATACACAAGTACTTTGATTAGAGTATATAGTAAGGAGGCTAATTTTATTTCACCTTTGTTTCTTCAACAACTTAAAACTTACAAATGGGATCTGTTACTGGTATTTGAAGGAAAGGATGTGTACACCTTTCTTTCTCATGGCAGAGGCAAATCGGTGAATACCTGAGATGCTGAGCTGTCAGAACCACCTTGGTGAGAGTCGTCAGGAGCACCAACAGAGCCATGAGCAGTCAGTGAAACATTCCCTACCAGAAATTCATCTCCTCGAACCGAATGGATGAGATCATTCAAATATTTATAATACAGATTGCTGGACAGAAAGCCAGGCAAAAACACCTGAAAGAGAGGACAAGCATTATTTTAAATGCTGAAATCAAATACAACTAAAATTCTATTTTTAAAACAAAATTTCACAAATGACTTTACTTCTCCTTTTTACACTCCAAGTAATATCCCTTTATACAGAGTTTACACTGTAACTAAAATTACAGCATGTATAATTCATATTTTTTTCCACAAAAAAAATCCCACTTTACTATGAAACTACTACATAGAATAGATATTTAGATTTCTTGGTGACCAGAAAATTGTCTAGGGAGTGAATATACATTGAAACTAGATTTTTCTGGTTTGTTATAAATATTAAAATCTTTGTGCATGTATTGATTTTTTACTTTTGAACCGATTTCCTTATGATAAATTAGTAGGAATGTGATTACTGAATTAAATAGTATGAACATTTTAGCTTTAATATATATGGGAAATTTACTCTTCAGAAGGATGTTGTCAACTTGTTCCACTAGCAGTGTATCAAGGAATCTGTTTTTTGTTTTTTGCTTTAAATGATTTTAAGTTAAAAAACAGAAGGAGCCGAAACCGGTTTGGCTCAGTGGATAGAGCGTCGGCCTGCGGACTGAAAGGTCCCAGGTTCGATTCCGGTCAAGGGCATGTACCTGGGTTGCGGGCACATCCCCGGTGGGGGATGTGCAGGAGGCAGCTGATCGATGTTTCTCTCTCATGGATGTTTCTGACTCTCTGTCTCTCTCCCTTCCTCTCTGTGGAAAATCAATAAAATATATTTAAAAAATTAAAAAAAAAAAAAAACAGAAGGAAGAGGGAGAAAGAGAGAAACATTGATGTGGGGGAGAAACAATGATCGGCTGCCTCCCACAAGCACCCCTACTGGGGATCAAACTCAAAACTTGGGCACGTGGCCTGACCAGAATCAAACCAAAGCCTTTCGATGCACAGGATGATGCTTAACCAACTCAGCCACTCTGGCCAGGGCAAGGTCTGTTTTGACACAGGCTATCAAACACCAGGTTGTGGTTATTTTTTCTTTTCTTTTCTTTTTTTTCTTCTCTTTTTTCTTTCTTTCTTTTTTTTAACCTTTAATTTAATTTTAATCCTCACCTGAGGATATGTTTCCATTGATTTTCAAAGAGAGAGGGAAAGACAGATAGAAACATCAATGTGAGAAAAACAGGGCCCAGGCCGGGAGTAGCCTGCAACAAAGGTACGTGCCCTTCATCAGAATCTAACCCTGCCCCCTTCAGTCCACAGGCTCACACACTATCCACTGAGCCAAACCGGCTAGGGCCAGCTGGTGTTTTTCAAGTGATTGTTAAATAAATGTCTAATAACTATGGGTGTTTTTATTTGCATTTAAAAATTAAGAAAGATGCTGAATAAATTCCCATGCTTATTACTGGCTGTTGCTATTATCAACTTTTCCTTCACAGCACTTAGCACAGTTGTAAACATCTGTCTGTGTGTAGTTGTGCTTTTTTTTTTGACAGAGCCCTGGGAGGGCAGAAACCAGGTTTCTTTTGTCTACCACCCTAACACCAACAGCCAGCACAGAACTTCACAAAGCACGGGCAAATGAATCACCTCTGCCTTTTTTCCATTTATCTACTGGATTCATCAAATTAGTTTAAGTTCTTTACATACACATACATATTTAGTAAGAAATTTTTTTAGATTTTGTTTTTCTCTTTTTTTTTTAAAGGGGAGAATGATGATTTTTATTTTTATTTTCTTTTAATATATTTTATTGATTTTTTACAGAGAAGAAGGGAAAAGAATAGAGAGTTAGAAACATCGATGAGAGAGAAACATCGATCAGCTGCCTCCTGCACATTCCCTACTGGGGATGTGCCTGCAACCAAAGTACATGCCCTTGACTGGAATCGAACCTGGGAACCTTAAGTCCGCAGGCTGAAGGTCTATCCACTGAGCCAAACCAGTTAGGGCCTCTCTCTCTTTTTTAAATGTAACAGGGGCCCGAAACTTTTCCTTTAAGATCAGGAAGATTATAATTTAAACATGGAAAAATTATTTTCCCAGGGCAATAGCTGATACTTTATTCAGTTTATCACTAGCTTTTCAATGATTTGATTTTTATATTGAACTCTTCCCTATCCCGGAATTCCGCTGTTACGTGGGTACTATGTAACTGTGCGTACTTAACCCCGTCCCCTAGATACACATGACATATGTAGCAACCTAACTTCATGGGCTTCTCCTGGGCTTTGCAATTCCTGGTAAAAGCTGCTCCAGTTATTGCAAGAATAAACCATTCACAAATTCTAATACTTCACTGTTAATAAGCTACTACTAATGCCCTAATTAGTGATCATGATACCACACAAAACTAATGCTCCAACCCTGTTAAGGGATATTGGTGAAATATTTGGATCATTCCTAAGCTAACTTTGCCCAATACTGCTCTCTAATTAATAAGCACTTTATTCATATACACCTTACCTTATTTTTACCCTCAAAATAACTTTAAGGTAAATTTCTATTACCCATAACATTCCCATTTCACAGATGAGTCAAATGGCATCAAAGAACTTCATTAACTGCCTGAAGCTACTTAGCCTGTAAAGATTAAGATTAATACACACCAAGTCAGATTCAAAGACTCTGCTCTTAATCGCTATCTGCACTACTTCACTTTTCCACTGTCCTGTTGCATATCGTTTTTCCCATGCTCTATTTTCTAGGTTCCAACAGTAAAAACTTCTGATAGGTTAATACTTTTGATGTTCTTGGTTACCTTCTCCATGGTTGTCCAGGCCTGACGTAATGGAGTTGTAAAACAGTTGGGGAGTGGCCCACCTTCCCTGCAGATATTAGATTCAATTTCTAATCTTACAATATCATCAAATCCAAGAGGATGTGTGGCCTGCAGGGAGAAGTACCTATGATAGAAAGACAGCCAAAGTAAAACCAAATTCCAAAGCAAATACAAGCAACTTCTGACGCCTACACCAGAGAATCTTCTGAAGGTACTTGATTCAGCCTGCAGACCTAGCACTATCACGGCCTTGCTGCAACTGTTCCCCCCATTTCCCAAAGATCTCTGAGTCAACTTGCTACCTCCCTATCTGCTTTCCATCATACTAACGTCATGTTTAAGATTTTCAAGGACCAGGCTACAACTGAGGTAAAGAAATCAATCAGTCACACATATTTAATGGGAACCTATTCTCTGTTCAGCAACTCATAGAAAGAAATGGATTGAAAGAGGGTAAAACACTGTCATTTCTTCTAGAAACAGCAGAAAAAAATCCCTGCACAGGATTCAATGAGAACACACCATTGTAAATAGGAGGCATATGTAATTTACATATAGGAATTCAAACCAAATAGTACTGAGGGTAAAGTGGATGTATTTGATGTATTTGGATAGAATAGGACTTGCTGGTGGTCTGGTATACAAGCGAAAAGCAGTAATCAATATTCTCAAAGACTTGTTTTTAAATCTTCCCCTGAGAATACTTTTCCCATTGATTTTCAGACAGAGTGGTGGAGGGAGGGGAGAGAGAGAGAGAGAGAGAGAGAGAGAGAGAGATGAGAGAGACATATTGGCTGCCTCCCCATGTGCCCTGAGTGGGGCCAGGGATTGAACCCTTTGGTCTAAGGACCGACACTAACCACTGAGCAAATGGCCAGGGCTCCCAGATTTTTTTTTAATCCTCACCTGAGGATATTTTTTCCATTGATGTTTCGAGGGTGGAAGGGAGAGGGAGAGACAGAGAGAGACACTGATGTGAGAGAGACACATCAACTGGCTGCCTCCCATATGCCCCCAACCTGCAACCGAGATACATGCCCTTGACCGGAATTGAACCTGGGACCCTTCAATCCCAGGCCGACATTCTATCCGCTGAGCAAAACCAGATAGGGCCAAAGCCTTTTGTAAAATCCTCACCCAAGGATATGTTTTTATTGATTTTCAGAGAGAAAGAAAGGCAGGGGGAGGGGCTGGGGGTGTGTGAGAGAGAAATACCAATCTGCTGCCTCTCACACACGCCCTGATTGGGGATGGAACCTGCAACCTAGGTATGTGCCCTACCAGGAATTGAACCCTCGACCTTTTGGTGAACAGGACGACGCTCCAACAAACTGAGCCAATAACTCAAAGATTTTGAACTTAACAGGACATAATGCAACTGGTGTTTTGGTAAGCTGATTATAAAGTGGATACTAAATAAAAGCATTAAAGGAGAAAAACATATATAGGGTATCCCAAAAGAATGTACACACACACTTTGAATAATTATAAAGGTAGTGTTTATTAAAATACATTTCATTTGCAAAATTGAGCTACCAGCTGTTCAAGTGAGTACACTTTTTGGGGGACACCTTATTATGTTCCCTTCCAAGCATTCTAGAGAGTCTAACTCCTAGACTCTCTAGAGACTCTAGAGAGTCTAACTCTAAATACAGAAAGACTGATGAGGCATGATTACAATGATGCATAATAAGATATAAACCAAACAAGTTGGGACTGTAAAGTCAAATTTGGCCCAACGAACTTGCCAAAATGACAGTGCAGCGGGATACGAACCAGTAAGCTTCATTTAGAAATGGCTCCTAGAGTGAGAATGGGATCCAGCGGGAAAACAGGGTCTCTGCACCATGTGGGACTGCGTCCCAGCCAGTGCTTGCTAGTGCACTCTCCCGCTCCAGCATACAGAAAACGCTTCTTTTTTGTTATCAGTGTTTTCTTAACAAAAAGTGAGTCTTTCGTCTTATAACAAGTTCATAAATATTCCTCCATGATTTGAATTTGGGGCACCCCAGACTAAGCTTTTAAATGTAAACACCTGCCATTTCTATGACCATGTAACAGTTCCCTACATAGTATTTTTCACAAATATACTAAAACTAGAGGCCCGGTGCACAAAAATTTGTGCACTCGTGGGGCAGGGGGGGTCCCTCAGTCCAGCCTGTGCCCTCTCGCAGTCTGGGACCCCTCGGGAGATAACGACCTGCTGGCTTAGGCCTGCTCCCGGGTGGTAGAGGGCAGGCCCAATCCCTAGGTGCAGCCCCTGGTCAGGTTGAGAGCAGGGCCGATTGGGGAGTTGGGGCGCCGCCCCCTGTCATGCACAGAGCAGGGTGGATTGGGACGTTGCGATGCCACCCTCAGTCACGCTCATGGTAGAGCCAATTGGGGGGTTGGGGCACCGCCCCTTGTCACACTCAAGGCAGGGTCGATGGGGAGGTTGCGGTGCCACCCCCTCT